AAAACTTTGTTACACATTTATATGATCATGATTAAATAAATTCCAGAAATGAATATCCATTATCCACACAAAATAACCTAAGTTTGCTTTTTAATATGCATCCAAAGGCATATTTTTATACATTTGAATTTAATGTAAACTGCCATGGGTGGTGGAGCAAAACCTTTTATCTTCTTTGTTGTAGTATTTTTTTTTAATTATTATTACTGCTAGTCTCCATGGTAGCAGCCAAAACAAATCTCTGGTGTATAGCTGCCCCAACAGCAGAATGTCTTGTGATGCATTGACTCCCAAGCATTCATAAAGCTAATTTAGGAATGGTATAGAAACTCTCAGCATGTCTCATAGATCACAACAAAATTAAACATGTAAATGCACCATATCACATTGTGATCCATTACATATTTATGTTAATTACACACAATTTAAAAGAAAGATTTTATTCTTCAGTCTTAAATATGAAATATGAATTTGTGTGGATCTATACTCTAAATGGTTTATTGAGCAGCATTGCTGTGCATTATGGTATTGCGTTCCTTAATCGCTTTTCTCTAGTATTCTTCTTCCCTCTCTGTTCTCTTTATTGCTTTCTCTTTGCAGCTCTATGCCCATTTATTCCATCCCATTTCATAATCTGTTTTAAATGTGCTTTCTCATCTAAAACATTCACAAATCCATGGGAAAGTAATAAACAAGAGATAGATAAAGTACAACAGGCAACACAAAATGACAGGTGTTGTGAAATCATGCCTCAGCAGCCCAACCTCTCCACAAACATGCCTGAATATAATTGAAACACTAATCAGACCATAATTACAAGAGACATCTCCTTACATCAAATGAAGTCAATGTAATCGCCAGTGGGCTGACAAGGGAAAAGAGAGGAGAAAACAAAGGAGATGAGGCGTGATTTAAAAATTATGGTCCATGAAGAAGAAGAAGGGAGGTGCTGACATTTTGACTAATATGCTACTTTGTCCTCATATGGCTCCACTGCACCCAAGGAATTATGGGGTAAGAACTTCCCACAAGCAGAGATGGTTTCACGACACCACAGGCTCCTAAATCATGAAATGAAATATGCTTTTCTTCATTTTACACTCAGTTCTCGGTTTTGTTGGCGTTGGGTTAAAGAAAATATCTCTAATTCAGCCTCATGCTCTTGGTATGAAAAATATGGACAATCTAAATTTGTATTAACTGCTTCAGCTGTGTGTTTTTCAATGCAGCCAAGTACGTCTGCTTGACAAGGACACAAGAAACCGGTTGGCTGCATTCAATGGGAAATAAAAGCGACAAAGCTGTTTGGAGGTTTGTAACCCACAGTTCAGAAAAATAAAGAATGAATGAATGAAGCTTTTTTTAAAACCCCATTATGTCTGACATACAAGTGGACTTTACTGCAATCACAGCGGAGGCAATACCGTTAAGTGCGTCTGTGCTTGTTTTTCACTGCTTTTGAACTCAATGAATCCATCTATGTGTGCCATTATTGCACTTAAGAGCTTAAAAAGAATATTTTTTAATAAAACTTCTTTTTCTTAGAGGATTTGCTATAGAATCATATTTTTTCAGGTGCTTTACATTGCTTCCTGTAACCAAGAGCTCTACATTTCTATGCTATTAAATCTCCCCTTAATACCTTGCAGCAAATGTCAATTTGCTAGTGTAAAAGATATCACCATTTCTCTTCTGATTACAACTCCAAGAAGATTCAGGACTTGTTAAAAAAAAATAGCAGGAAGAGATAATTTCCTAGGTTATTCCCGTGAGGGGACTGACCAGCAGGTGGGGATAAAGCCCCCCTATTTGTACTCTAACTCCTCTGGATTTCTCCTAAATCCTCAACTACCTCTCACCTGCCCTCTGACAGGAAAGGCCAGCTCTGGAGAATATTTATGAGCAGGGGAGAACGAATTGGTCTGAAATCATTAGCCAAGGGGGGATAAAATATAGAAAATGTGACAAAGACATACAAATAATGCAGATTGGGTACTAATATATTTTCTAGAATTCACTTCTTGTTGATTCTGGTTTATTAGGGTCTACTTCTTCTGCATGTGTAATTTGGTTTCTCTTCTTACAGGTAAAATGTGTAGAAATGGTAGAGATTTCTCTTCTCAAAAGTTAAACCTGAAATTAGGTTCATTTTCAGAATTTCAAATGTATAGTGGTAATGGTGTGAAATGCATTAACTACGCTCATATATATGCAACAAGTGCAACACTGGTGAAAAACCAAACATCTACCGCCCTTTTGCACTCAGTTAAGTGCTTGCACACTTTACACTGCTTGATGCCATTCTGCATCGGTCACATTGGGCGAGGAGCAGGGAACACACAAGACAAGTCGTCAGTCCATCTCAATACAATTTAGAGGCACACACGACAAACAACCAAACACACATACACAACCTAGGGTAATTTAGCATAACTAATTAGCCTAACGTGCAAGTTTTTGGACTGTGGGAAGAGAAAACCCACACTTTACACTGCTCCCAGTAGGAATTCAGAACTCTGGGCCTTCTTGCTGCAAGACAGCAGTGTTTAGTAATTGCTTCACTACAAAAACCCAAGAAAAAAAAAAAAGAAAAAAAAAAAGAACATTAAACTACTTTGATGGCATACATTTTCTTTCTTGAACTGTAAGTCTATTCTTCCCCCTCATACAATATCAAAAAAGCGCTGATTGCTCTCATTTATTTTGTCAACGTCTTGGAATGCCTTCTGATGGAGCCTGGTGTTAAAAGTGCAAGATATTTAAAGCCGTAAAAGGTTTGCCTTTTCAAAGCAGTTGGAAGAAAATCTCAATGTGGAAACACTATCTTTTTACTTCAACAATATAACATTTAACCTTTTCACTTTAACTTCAAATGCAGTTTGCTGTAATTAGTCAGAGTTTTTTATAATCTTTAACAGAAAACTCCAAAGGCCAGAGTAAACTTCAGGGACAAGACATCTGCAGACTTATGAGGCTTACATTTCCACTTATTTTTGTCCTTCAGAAAGCTTTCATCTTGGCTTTTCAAATAAAAGTAATGAGAAAATGCATCTGGTTTTCTGTTATGTAAATCAGTTAATCTTGTGCATCCATTTAACTAATGTATGCTAATATCTGTCAGCTTTTCATGTCCTGGCTGAGGTGCAAAATGCAAAAGTAAAAAGGGGGCAACAAGGTATGAAGCCTTTCTAGAAAACAGAAAGGAGACACCAGCAGAGATGGAAGAGGGGAGGAAATGATGGATGTAGAGAAGCAAACAGAGCTACATTTTCTTTCTTTGCCTGGCATTGTTGCCCCTGTCAGCGGCTAAATGCCAGTGTCAGTCAAGTCTCTGTTCAGCTGGCAACAGTCCTCCTTCTGAACAGTGGCGACACCCTCATCACGGATCATCTAAACACTTACCTTGCACATACAGCCACGAATCCAGACACTCAAGTATGCCGAGCCAGTCATGCTCAATCAACTTGCACAGCATCCGCTGATGAAAATTGTCGGTGGGTAAATAACACACTAGAACTTCAGTATAATAAGAAAACCATCATTTGGTTTGAGCTAATTCGAAATGACAAGATTTTTTTTTCTTTTCTCAACCCTTACGTAGTGATTTTTTAACTAAATGTTTTGATATACAAACATGCATACCTCAGAGCAACAGACACACAATAACAAACAATATTATGCCCTTTCAGATACAGTATGCAGTGTGTGTAGGTCACACTGACTGACACAAATGTTAGCTGAACCACCAGCCTAAAAGGATTAAATCAGTCTGGGTTTCAGAGATGATGTTTAAACGCCTCATATTTGTCTTTCTCTCCTAGGAATAAAAAAAAGCTGAGGACAAACACATCAAGTGTGTTAACTGTCTTATATTTGAACGCTCAAAAGTAGGGATGCACGGATCAGGCTTTTTACTGGTTAAAACCAATTTTCAAGTTTTCTTTGAAATCTAATGTTCAGATTTAAATTTTTTCTAAGAACTAAAACACATAGAAGAGACAAAAATGTAGTGTCTTTTAATTGCAACAGGACAGGGGAGATTCCATCCTCATCCCTAACTGTGATCTGTTTTTAATTTATTTGTTCATACACCAAAATTATAAATGTTCTTAGTTGTTCTTTTGTTAGTAAATACAGAAATAAATTTCAATCTCAACTTTCTGATATGTCAATCAAGAAAACGAAATGCAGCTTGTTTTATACTCTGCTGTCCTGAACATTTCCTTTTAACTTTGGACAAGGCTTGAGATGAATTCTTAATGTTGACATAAAAAATCTACAATTTACAATCCTTTATTATTTTTTAAAACTTGTTTTGTATCATTTACACAAAACAAAATAATTAACTCACCATAATTTACATTTTATGACTTTACACGTGAATAAGCCTTCTTCCATCCTAAATCGTGCTCTGGTCCAAACATAAATTGCCACAATACATTGAATACAGCTTTCAGACAATAACCCACTGGGTCTTCGCACACAATCACCACACACTTCTAAAACCACTTGGTCTACCCACTGTCACACACCAACAGGCTCAGTCAGATATCTGTAACATCCCACTGCTTTGTTCTAACCCTCCTGTGGCATCTCTACTTTAAGTTTTCACTGATATGCACCATTTACAGTTTGTATCATACTCCAACCATATGCCTCTGCTGCCTACTAAAACGGAGGTGAGCAGCCGCATGGAGACGAGCTTAGATCTATGCAGAAGGCACGCAGAGCTTTCATTTGTATGCAAAACTCCACTGAGTAATCTTCTCAGTCCCTCATCCCTCTGTTTGCCACCTACTAAATCTGCATCTTTTGTGGTGAAAAGAAAAGCATAGTGTCATCTCTTGCCTATGCTTTGCTGAACAGCCTCTTTTCCCTCAAGGGAAGGCTACAAAAGAAGCCAAAGTAACTGCAAAACCCCTTTAATGTTTGTTCCTTTTTGGATGCAGGACAAGATTTCACACAATATTTTTAAGGAGTTTAGATCTCTGAACTCTTACCTGTATATTTTGTACTTGGTGGTGAATCCCTGCTGGTAGCGCTCTGTGAAATCAACAAACTCCTGCGAATTGTGAAAAGGACCCTTCTCTGACAGGAGCCAGCCCAGGGGTCCATTTGAGCCACTGAAGCCAGCGCCGGTAGAGTCGGCAGCACTGGCCCCTACTGACAACCAGCTTAGGAGCAGGCTTAATGTCAACCACTTCCATAGAAACATGAGGGCCGTCAGTCTAGTGGAGGTCCACGGGCCACTCATGGTGTTTGCCCCGGCCCCGGTGACTCTTCATTCTCCTTGCACTCCTAATGAGTCCTGTTGGAAAACAGACAGAAAGGAAGAGCGAGATCACACCGAGAGGAAAAACAGTACTTTTATTTAATTTTACTTTGAATATATAAGTGACAAAAATAAATGAACAATCACTTTTGAATGTGATTATACAGTCCATACTGTTAAGAGACCATACTGTTTCGCTTAAGCCTGAAAATATTCTCGTCTGCAATCACTTTTCGTAGTTGAGTTGTGTCTTTACCTTATTCTGTAAGTCTTTTGGTCCGTGACTGTTCGGAATAAATCTCCGCAAAATCCCCTCAGAGGATCGTGAAGTTCGGTTCTGCAGGGCGCATACACCGGGGGGGCATTGGAGAAAGGTTGCGCGCAAAAAAATAAAAAAAGAAAGAAAAAATAAAAGAACAAGACTGCGCAAGTTGAATTAAACAGAAGATGAAACCTGATCTCCTCCTCCCTTAAAAATACGCTGTTTCCTGCTGAAAACCGCCCAAGACGCTGAGAAGGAAGGCTTCTGTGAGTCCTCTCCAAGTAAGTCGCTGATGTGGTATCTTAAGAGACTCGGCTTTTCCAGGTGTGCTAATTATTTTAACGCATCTTCCTAATGAACAAATGAGCAAAGTCCACCGAAGCGGGGTAAGCAGCCGTCCTCTAACTCATGCAGTTTTTGATTGGAGACAGTTGCGCTCGGGACGCACGCAGAGCGCATGGAGATCCGCCGATGATTCTGACGGTGACCGAGCTCCCCTGCGCGCGGGATGTGTGAATGGCATTCAGGGCGCGCTCTCCCTCCCTCCTGAACCCACGCCGCTGCAATTTAATTTATTCCAGCAGCAAGAATACTCCCGGTTGGCTGGGACGTAACTGGAGGAAGTGAGAGTAGGAGGCGCTCAGAAGTGAGGGTGGCAGGCAGGATGCGGGGATGGTCAGTTAATGGTCAACTGGGTGCTTAGTTTTAGAAAACCGATGGAGGGCACCTGCAGTCTGCATCAACAACATAATAAATCCAGGAAGGACATATGGGGATAAATATTTTGTCTGTTTAGAATGCAAGAAAATGATTAGAGCAAATTAAAAGACGTCATTGCTATAAATTAAGTTCTGGATTAAAGCTGCCTTTCATGAAATATGTAGGTTATTTCAAAGAAAGATTTTTACTGGCAATGATTTAGTAACCATAAAAATAAATGTATTTTAAGTAGTAGTTGTTAAAATATATTTTTATATTTCATATAAAAATAGCTAAAATTAAGTTAGTTGGAAATAGCCGTTAAGAAAGATGGCACTCTTCAGCTTCACGAGGATGATTATAAGGGAGAATGACCGTAGTACATTAACCCCACCCCCGCACGCGCACCCACACCACCCCCCACACACACTCCGGAGTTGTTCTCGTTATCTTCCATGCCCTGGTCGTCTCTCCTCTCTATATGCTCCAGAATAATCATCACTTTCACCATCAGCAAACTTAATTAGATCTGCTCTATTCGAGCGCCTATGTGCGTCGGACACCGAGCGTGGATCAGAGAGGCAGAGAGCAGGCGAACCGAGGGAAGGATATGTACTGCCTTTCAGCTTCTCCGCAGACGTTCAAAGGGAGGTTTTATACAGGGATTGGATTAGAGAAATGAACACCATTGAGTCTCCAGATTCGCAAGCTTCTAAACTCAAAGAGAGGCTGAAATCCCGTGGCGCAGCGACTTGCAAAATCTGAAGTGAAAGAATGAGTTGATTTGTCACGGTTTCATCATCACGTCCTGGGATTGGGTGCCTTTTTCCTCTGACCCTGCCTTGCAGCAATGAGGACTTGTGAAGGACAACTATCTAATAGGAAAAGGCAATCTCTTGTCTGTAGTGTTGTTTCTGAATAAAGGGAATTTGATTCATCTTACTTTTGCACTGCCTTGGTGGTTGACCAGGTCTTGTTTGTCTCCAAACTCACGCTTAATTTTTGAATAAAGCATAGTGGACAGTGTCATGGCTCATTACCTGGATGGCTTCACACAGCATTTTAGTCAGTCCTTGGAACACCGCAGCTTTCAGAGTCCCAAAACTCATATAAGCAGAGTGTAAGCAAAGTCCCCGTACTTCATATATACAATTTCAAATAAATCATTCATCAGTTTGAGAGTGTTGGTGCACAAGAGTAGAATATGTTTTTCTGATATGTAGAATACCAGAGTGTGCATAGAGGCAAGTGTGCTTGTTTATTTCTTTTTCAGGAGAGGCTGTCGAGGCAGGAGAATTGATTGCCAATTGATGCAACATAAGGTTGTCCGCCTGCTGCACATGGATGTAAACCAAGTGCAAAGAGGGAGAGAGATCAAAGACAATGTCACAGAAAAGTGCTCATTAAGGCTCCAGGAAGGTGTGCAAAATGTGCAGGTCACTGTGGCTGAGCAGTGAACTGTAACACGGAGCGATACTTTGCTCTTTTGAAGCCCTGGCAACCAAATATCTCAAAAGTGGAATCTTGGCGAATGTATTCTGCCATGCATTCTTCAGCTGGGCTTTGAATTTTGTAAACTGGAAAAGAATTTTACTTCTAAGTTTGTAATAGCAGTGCATAATTGGATTTCTCTCTACTTCCTAAAAAGACTTGTACATTGGCAGAAATACTGATAATAAAATACATCATGTTCATGTGTGAACACGATGCAAAAGAACTTACCAGAAAACAAAACAAGCATCACATTATAAAATGTCAATATGAAAAAGCTTCACAGTCCGTACTCTTTCATGATTAGGATGCTTCACAATCTCAAAGTCCATACTCTTTCATGATTAGGATTTGTGACAAATGAGAAGATACCTATTTTAGTTAGATCTATTTCTGTCTGTGTCTGCATGTCTCTGTGTTTCAGAAAGAAATGTCGTAGTTCCTTTCATCCATCCATCAATTGTCTTCCATTTGTCCAAGACTGAGTCACAGGGCTGACAGGTCTTTGGGTGAAAACCAAAAATTTCTTTGCCCAGCAACACTTTCCAGCTCACTTTGCTAAATTCTGGTCTTTCTATCCTTTTAATAGTAATAGTATATTGCAGTCTAACTAACTACCACATAAAGACATACAGCTAAGCCTAAATATTATTTTTTCCAGGTAGATTTAGGTTTTAAGGAATCTTATAGATTTTGTTAACTGGAAGTAGAAACCAGACCCCTAATGTCCACCAACCTGCCTAACCGTACACATGAAATAAATTACTTTAGGTAAATCTAATCTATTGGAAGAACTACAGCAAAAATTGTATATCTACTAAATATATATTTCAAAAACTTATATCTGGATGGTTGCAGGAAGGCTGATGCCTATCTTCAGCGGTAATTGTGCGAGAGTCCATTGCAGGGCAACAAAGAAATACACAGGACAAACACCAATGCATACATACACCCAAGACACTAAATACAGTAAAGACAAATTAAAGACACAAATTAACCCAACAGTCATCTTTTCTTCATGATGTCATATACATTACTTTACATAGTCTTAGAGTCTATTGAGACATGCCCCTCTCATTTCTCCCCAATCATCTTCAGAAATTTTCTAAGGAGGCCATTATTTCCCAGCAAAGAAGAGATGAGAACGCTGACTTCCACTGTTCCTCATGCTGGTGAATTAGAAAATTACAGTGGTGTTCAGCAATTAATACACTTGGCAAAAATAACAACACCCTGTGTTATTTTTGACAGCTACAAAAATGGCCTTTTGTAGTTATATAGATGACCCCAAACCTTGCTGCTGGGGACTCATCTGTGTGGCTCTCTAGCCCCGGCAAGTTATGTGAAGGACCAAAGCACTTCCATTTGCTCAGCGCTGAGACAGATAGTCATTAGGGGAGGTAAACATTCACTTAAGCCTGCGCGTGCCTATTGAAGCCACTCAAGAGTCTTTGTGAGGAGTGATCAGGGAACAGAATGAGTCAGAGGTTTTAATTAGCTAGAGAACCTGTCAGGCTTTGACAATGCTTTGTCACAGCACTGTGGACTTCACCTGCTTTTTTTGTTGTTGTTGTTTTAGGTATATTTTAGTGTGAGCAAAACACAATGGATTAAACTGCTTTAGCATTTTCCAATGTCTGCATACTTAACTCAAATGAATCTAAATGAAAATGGTATTATTGTAATACTATTTTTTGTGAAGTATGAAACCTTTGCAGACATCTGTTAAGAAAATCTTTTTTGAGGTCAAGCATAGCTATGGCAGAAACTGTAGGCCTGGTTATACTTTAATCAGAATGGTGATTAGTTGTTGCTTATTTCGGCCATAAAAGTTTCTATAAATCAATTAAAGAAACCAGTCTTCTATCTCATTCTCTTTCTGGAGCATCTTCAGACTTGCTTTATTTTAATTGCACAAACTGCCTTATTAACGTCCTCCTTATTTTTTTAAACTTATTGTATTTTTTACTCGCATTACACACATAGGGATTAATTAACTGCTGCAGGTGCTTTTGATTCTATGATGTGTTTTACACATTGTATACACTGATGTGCAGAAGGTACAAATTAATAAACTATTTTTCAGTAGACGGTTTTCTTTTATTAAATAAATACCACCTTTATAAAATAATAATCTGAGTAATGTTTTGAGTAAGTCATCCTTTTGGCAATAAAGAGGTAGCAATTTTTCTTCTGCAGAATTTACTTTTAGCAAACAATTATGTAGGACATTATTTCAGTAACTTGACAATATTAAAACTATGTATAATATTATTCTCCTTCAAATATGTAATTTTAATTAGTCTTTTAAAATTTTAATTTTTGCACAAAAGTTCAGAAACAAATTTCCACTCTAACACTCCAGTGAAACTATATTTAACTAATTACAAATTTCATGCTTGTGGCACCAAATTTTTTAAAGCAGTGTCATTCAAAGTCTCTTCTTTTCCTGATTCAACACACCAAACAACAAACCAAATCAAATCGGTTTGTTATTCAATTGATGGCTGTTATCCAGCCATCAATTGAAATTAGCTGGGTTAAAGCAGGGAAATGCCTAAAACACCTGGATCTGACTACGGCCTGTTCTCATTGCTGCTGACCCGAAATGTTCACTATTCACCTCTGAGCTTTGGATTACAGACAAAGTTACTGTAATCAGTGAATACTGGACTGGTGTTTGTGAACCCACAAAACTTGCTACTTCAGTTTCTTGTCTCTATGATGTCATTGCTCAAATTAGCTGAAAAGCAAAATGGCTACAGTCAAGCATGGTGGCAGTAGTATGTTAGCTTGGAGCTGCTTTGCTTCTTAGGACCTGAAAAGCTTAAATGATGGAGTTGTACTCTGCCCTCCAACATAAATTTCTGCAGCTAAATGTTCAGATATCGCTTCATGGCCTTAAGCTTAAGCCCACTTTTGTGTTTCAGAGAGAGAATGCTCAAAAGCACACCAGCTACATCAGATTTTGTATTTTATTTAGTTTTTTTGAAATGATGTACCACTATTGCTCCCAAAGGCTCTACAACTAGTTATTTGGGTTAGGCGATAACTATTTCGCACAGGCCAAAATTATTTTTAATGTTTTTATTTTTATTATTATTATTTAAAAACTGCATTTTGTAGTTACTTGGGTTGTATTTGTCATATAAAAATATCAATTTGATGATCAGAACTATTTAAATGACCCCCCAAAAAAGCAAATGGAGGAAATCTGAGTTGCCGAATACCTTTTTATTGCATTTCCTGGAATTCCTGAAAAAACTGTATGTAAAAACATACATTTTCTTTTAAATGTAAATTTGGACTTTGAGACTGTGTAA